TTTTTTTGTTTTAGTATTTTGAAGTTGACCAATTGTTACTATAAGCAATTAATGATTATAGATGATCTGCACCGTATGATTTTTAGATACATTAAAACCATAAAATTGCTTCGCCTAAAAAAAGAAATAATGTTTTTTGTGTAATTTATGATACAAATTTGGATATGATCTGCTGATTAAACTTAATTTAATAAACATCAACCAAACCCCCTTTTTATTATTAAAAAATGTGTCAATCATCTATATACTTTATCACATAGCATGAATTAATTTTTTAAGAATAAGTTAATGTTTGTAGATTATCCTCTTTTTTTTATTGACAAAGAAATTATTAGAGCAGTGGAGCCAAATCCTGAAGTTGATGATTCTGATGAAGAGGAAGAAGTTATTTCTGATTAAATAGTTTAGAAAAGCGATTCAATATTTAAAAAATCCACCAGATAATTTTACATTAGCTATCAAGAATTAAAAATGATTAATAGTTTAAAATCAAAAAAATTCATAAACATGTTCAGGATAATGCAAAACAACTTATGTTAGACAGTTTTATTTCATAATATTTACTATGTATGTGTTGTACATGAATTTATTTGCATTACTAATAAAAAATTGATCTTGTTATAAGGGACTTTTCAATTTATTTATAATAAGTCCATTATAAAAAGGTTTTTCTTTATAGTGGACAAAAATTCCTGGAATCAAGTATACACTATAACAAGCTTTGATTGTAGATTACATTGAATGATATAGAAGAAGGTATTGAAGCTAGGGATCTAATTGAATATATGATTGAACATGATCCAGAAAAAAAGTAATGATATACTTTGTTACTGCAGGTTGAGTGTCAAGCATGGCTCTTTAATCCCCATTCCATAAATGAATAGCCTACTTCTTTTGCTGTGGTGAAGTAATAAATATAAAAAAAAATCTAGACTTTAATCTAATCAAGCAATATAATTAATTAACTCAAAACAATTTCCTGACAAACAGCCAAATAGTCCAAATTTTTCTTTATCACCAATTTTGCATATTGAGCTGTTTCTTCCTTTTAGCTCTTGATGACCTTCCTCCTCCAGATCATACATGCAGCCCAAATTGATTTGTTAATTTCATAATATTATGAAATTTGGGTAGTGTTCATAATGTCGAAATTAAAAGTGATAATTAGGTCATAATGTCATAATGTCATAATTGTGAAATTGTGTAGTAATGTCAAAATGTCATGACTGTTGTAGCAATTTAGATTTTTATCATGAGTATAATGTAAAAATAAAGAAATAATTAAACATTAGTGGCAGACAAACTAATTTTATATATTAAGTATTTTTACTAATTATGTTTAGAAATATTCAGATAGATGAGATTATCTGTATTTTCTTATCATTATTATTATTATCATAAAAAAAAAATTTTAGAATCGTTTTCATTTACTTAAATTCCAGAAGAGTGTTAGATAATATTATTATTATTTCGTTTTTATTAAATATTCATTTACCTAGAGAATAATATTACTCCAACATTTCTTTTATTACTATTATATTTTACCTTTTTTCTGTCATTAGAACAGATTAATTTTTTTTATATTACCATATACATATATTTAGAATTAACAATCATTTGTTATTAAAAATTTTTTTAAAGAATATAGATTTTATTACTCAGCTGTTTTAATAACATTTAATATATTTTTATATTTACTTATAGAGAATTCACCAATTACTAATTTTTTTATTGCATTTTTTTATCTATACAAAGTCAAACTTCATCTTCTTTCTCTATAACTTTGTTACTTTTTACTTAATCTTTTATTGTCACCAGTTAATGATATCTTTATTTTTGTTGCTATTGAATAAATATTCATTATCAAGACAATGAGTGAATCAACCTCTGAAAAATCTTCAAAATCAGGTAGACCAAAAAATGACATTTGGAAGCACTTCAAAGAGGCTGATAAACTCAATGGACATTACAGCGCAAAATGTATTTTATTGTAATTGGAAAAGACAATGTGGAAAAACTGCAGAAATGATAGATCTTTTAATCAATACTTGTCCAAATGTTCCACATAATATAAAACATGGTTTTCACCAACAACAACAATGTAACGAAATTGTAACAAAGAAAAGGACACATGATGGATTACAAACTTATATCAATGAACATTTTCAAAGTTCCTCAATTGAAGAACAAAGAAATAAATTAATTAATAAATCATTGGTAAAATTTTTCACATGTTGTGGTGTTTCTTTTTCTATTGTTGAGCACCTTTTTTTTGTAGACTTTGCAAAAACATTGTGCCCAGGATATAATCCACCTTCAAGGACAACTTTATCAACTACTTTATTGAACCAAGAGGCAGGCGAAGTTATGATCAGTACTGAAGACCAATTAAGATATTTGAAAAACCTTTCATTGTGTTTGATGGTTGGACATCACCATTAGGAAATTCCTTTTATGCATTTGTAATTATCACCGAGTCAAGATCTGAAATTTTTTACTCTCTAAAAGATTATTCCTCAGAAAAACACACAGCAGAATTTTTATCAAATGAGATCAAATGTATTTTAGAGAGGTTGGTGTGAACAAATTTGCATCTATAATTTTGGACTCTGCTGCTACAATGGTTGCTGCAAAAAGACTTGTTAATCAGACATATCCTAGTATTTATCCAATCTGATGTATTACTCACCATGTAAATTTAATCTCTTCAGACATTTGTAAAATAAGTTGGGCAAAAATAATTTTGAACAAATGTAATAAGATTGTCAGATATTTTAAACATTCATATAGGGCAGGTTCCATGTTAAGGCAAGAAATTAATGATCATTTAATTATAGGAGGTAACTTACAAGGTTATGTAAAAACACGATGGGTAACTGCATATGATTGTACAGCATCTATTTTACGATTAGAAACTTGTTTAAAGAATGTTAGTATTTTACTTAAAAAATTTTATTATATATTTTTCTTAACCAAAACCACACACACAATTTTTACATACATTATTTATTATATTAAATACTAGTTATTTTATATTTATTTACTTCATTTTTAAAGTTCACATAAATGATATATATTGTAATGAAGATTTAATACTTGTAAACATATTTATTTACTTTGTTCAAATAATTTTAATTCACATGTTTAGGTTCTCATAAATGATACAGAATGCTTGTCATCAGAAGTAAAATCAATTTTAAGAAACCATATGTTTTGGCAGCAAGTGGAGGATTTGTCAATGGTTTTAGAGCCAATAAAAAATGCAATAAAATGTTTAGAATTTAAATCAACAACACTTGCTGACTGTTTTATACAATTGATAAAATTAAATAAGGCTATAAAAGACATGTCAGAAGAAATAAATCAACAGTTTCATAATGATGCAATTGAAATATTTAATAAAAGATGGCGTCAGTTTGACTTTGATCTTTATATCCTTGCATATTTTTTACATCCCAAATATAGAGGTGCAGGTACAAGAAATGAAACATTGAGGTTAATTTGTCAAGCAGCACTTTGTATTTGGATTCCAGTCAAAAAAACATCAACAAATACTGATATTTTAATTGCACAATTACGTGCATATGAAGCATATGAGTATCCTTATGATGTTAAATTTGTTGAAGGAATTGAAACACCAAAAACTTGGTGGGTTGGTTGCAAACAAGAAAAAAACTATATTCAAATGTTGTCATTAAAAATTCTTAGTATAATACCTCATAATGTAAATTGTGAATGTCTTTTCTCAGTTTTAGGTTGGTTTATGTCAAAACGCAGGACTTGGTAAACTTTTTTCATTGTATATTTAATATATATAGTAAATATTAAACTTGTATTAAATTAATATTTTTTTTAGCTTGAATGTGGAAAGACTCAATAAAATGGCCAGATTGCATAGTTATTACATATCTAATGGGAAAAGTCTGCTCAATTATCCTGTAGATGATGTAGATGATGACAAATTTAATGAAGAAGTAAATAGATCAATTATAGAATTTGATTTAGAAAAAAATGAAAATGAAAATGAAAATGAAAATGATTTGGAGCTGACAGAAGAAATTGACAACATTGAAGAATATGAAGAGGAAGAAGAGGTCATACAACCAGGGGAAAATGATATTACAGGGGAAGGAGAGACATTTGATAAATATTTCAATATGAACAATCAAGACTTATGTGAACTCTTGAAAATTCAAGTTAGTGTTGTAATTGAACAAAGAGAAGTAGAAGTTGCAGAGATAGAGACTGATGAAGAAATTGATGAAGAAACAATTTTAAATAAACATTTTGATTTAAGACAAAATTAATGTGTTCTATTGTGATATGTGATATGTAGTATTTTCATTAATGAATAAATAATATAAATAAACCAAGCATGTTAGCCAAAATGGTTTTTGCATTTGCCAAAATATTTTGTCTTTTTACCTAAAACCATAATATTTCCAAAATACCAAAGTTATTTTGACACTGTCATAAAGGAGGAGGTTATACATGTCATAAAGGGTGTTACAGTTATGTTTTTAATAATATACTTTTGACTTTTGACTTTTGGCATTAGAATATTTTAACTTTTGACATCAACAAATACTTTGGGCTGCATGTATAATTTTGATATTTTAAACATAATTACAATATTTTAACCTGATTACAACATTATGAGATTACAGCATGATTATGACATTATGGCATGATTATGACATTACAGCATGATTATGACATTATGACTTATGACAATTTGAGAATGGATGTCTAAATATATTTATGACATTATGACATTACGGCATGTCAAAAGTCATAATAGTTTGGGCTGCATGTATGCTCCAGATATTTTAAATCAAGAAAAATAAAAAAATTTCATAAGGATGAGTAATTGGTAAAGAATTTCTTCAACTGAATGAATCATTTCCAAATAAACAAAGATGTGCCATTTAAAAAAATTTTACCACTATCATCACATAATTTCAATACTCTTGTGTTTTGTTTCAGGTAGTGGTGGAAAAGTTCATATGACTCATAGAGTCTAGTCTATTTTTAATATTGTTATCTTCATTATTAATAAAAAACTTTTTCGGATAGATTAAATATAGTAATTTCATCTAAGACTTGGTATACCTCAAAAGATGTTAATGGTGATGTAAAAACTTAAACTTGCTGATATTTTTTTCTATTTTTATGAGATGTATTATTGTTGTTTCATTAATTGTTGTCTAGAAGAGCCATTTTGAACTGATAAAGATGGCTATTTTTTTATTTTGAAAAATTTCAAAAGAATCCTTTCTTAAATATTAATTGTTTCCAAATCAGACTTTTTGGAGCTATTATCTATATGTAATTTGTTGCAATAACATTTTTGACTGCCCACCTTCCATAGTAAAATTCTGAGATATTTTTTAAAAGTCTTGAAATCAATAACAAATTCCTCTTAAAAACCTATAGTTCTTTTCTATTGACCCCCAAATGATCAAATCCAAGAAGTCATTAAACAGACAATATGGATCTCATTTTGATATCTGGATTTATGGCACAAAATAATATCAACTGATCAGTTCTTCTAAGATCAACTGGAAATAATTTTTAAAACGTGTGATGGTTTGTACTACACCACGAAAAAGTTGCAAGCCACTGGTGTCAATAAAAAATATAATTGTAGTATGTGAAATTCAACAGAAGTGGAGATTGTGTGAGAAGTTTTTAATTTTTTCGGGAGAGACACGTTCATATTTGTTTATAGTGCAAAATAATAAACTAAATAAAATGTATATATATGGACAATGCGTAATCGAAGAAATAATTTCTATAGGATAAAAAAATTTTATCGTTGTACAGGTGAGACTTACTTACTTTGGGATTTTGTCATATTGTTTTTTATGTTGGAAAGTGTGACAAATGAGTAATAGCGGAGTTCTTCACCTTTTGTTGTATTTCAATTGATGAGTTTATTATAATCTGGTTAATCCACTTTTTTAATGTAAAAAAAAAAAAAAAAAATTTTTTTGAAGATTTTATTGATTGAAAAAAAATTTTCTTCAACGATCGCACTTTCTAACCAAAATGGGGTTGAGTTAATCGAATATCTAAAAAATTTTCTAATTGAGAAAGATTTACTGTAATTCAAAAATTATAAACATGTTATTTAAATCCGGACCTATTCGGATTGATTTTTTTTTTAAAAAAAAATACAGGATCGAAAATTGCCTAACTTTTTTTTTTAAAAAAACTTTTCTTAAAAAAAAACTTCTTAGTAATTTTATATACATATATATATATATATATAAATATATACCAAAATTGAGACAACATATCTATAAAGTTTCCGGGGTTCACTTCACCACCTACACAAACGTAGTTTACCTCTCTCCTTCTCTCTTTTTTTATTCTCTACTAATAACCTTCGTTTTTTAAATTCAAACATTTAAATAAACTGAAGTAAAAATGCTTTATAATAACACTAGTAACATAAACAACTCTTACAATAATGACATTAAACATTCAGGTAATTCTTGAAAATTACATGTTTCTTTCTTTTAAAAGGTGTTATTATTTATTTTTTGAAAAAAACAAAAGAAACAATTGTGACAATTAATGATCTTATTCATTGTGTCAACAATAAAGCTAAAAATAAAAAAATAAATTTTTTTCTTATTCTCTATTCAGAAACATACAATACACATAATGATAACATATACAACATTGAAGAACAATTGGACCTTTCGGGATTGGACCAGTTAGCAAATACTGCACTCTGTGAACTTCAAAATCTTCAACGAAGAAACGAAATAAAAATGGAAATTGAAAACACCAAAGAAACTAGATTGGATGAAGAAATGGCAATAATGAATTTGGAATTAGAAAGTCATAGTTCCCCTTCTGTCTCTACTACATTCGGAAATCGCATTTCTATTAAAGATTTATTGTCACCTCCTTCATACGACGAATGCACGACTGTTCAACTTTATTGTGTTTGTCGATCATCTGATGGTCAATCATTCATGATTGAATGTGACGAATGTGATGAATGGTTTCATGGAACTTGTGTAAATATAACAAATGAAGAAGCTACTTTAATTGACAAATACTATTGTCCAAATTGCACAGGTAAAAAGAGGAGAGATTAATATATTTAAATGTGTTTATATGAAAATTATTATCGTTACTAATTATTATTATTGTTGTTTCATATATTTTAACCAAAAAAAGAGGCCAAAGGATATAAAACTTCATGGAAGCCAGAAAAATGTAAAAATCAAAATTGTAAAAAAGCAGCAAGATTTACCAAATCAGGGTTTTGTTCTGTCAAATGCGGATTGGCATGGAATCGTATAATTCTGGAGCAAGAAGAAAGGCTTGCTAAAATGGAAAGCCTGCTCAATAAAAAGAAAAAGCCCCTAAAGGGTCGAAATGTTCAAATTGTTACAAATCGTTCAGCGCAAATATCCGATAACGAACGGTTGAAAAAAATTGCAAAGAAAAAGGCTGCAATTAAAAAAGAATTGGAGATTATAGACAAACTTAATAATATTAATAATGATAAAGACATAATGGTTAAAACGAACAGTGGCGGTGAAAATAATAATAATAATAATTCAGAAAAAGACTATTCTTACGAATTTGGTCAACCGTCCAAGATTCAAAAAATAAGTCAAAATGGACAAATTTGTGGCTTTACTCCAAGTAAAGATTGGATTGTTGACGGTGATATTGTCGAAGGTGATGATATTGATGAAGTTTGTAAGATACCCAAAGGAAGATGTAAAAAACATGGAAATTGGCAAAGTTTTCGAATTTCACAAATTGAATTAATGAAATCTAATAAGGTTTGATAAAATTAGATATGTTTTATGTTTAGTTTCCTATCATTATTATTTTTTAAAAATATTACCTTTTTTAAACAGTACGAAAGCCTCGCACAATTAAATGAAAAAAAAAGATTAATTAAGCAACGTATGAGAAAACGAGCCGACATCGATGAAGCATTTGTTAATGAAACAATTGATCATACTGCTTAAAAAACGGAAATGGTTTCTAATAATTAAGAATTTTTAATAATTTTTAATGATTTTTATTTTTTCTTCGCTTAATATAATATATAATTTTATTATAATAATTGCTTCTTAAATAGGATTCAATTAATACAAGTAATTACCTTTTTTTTTAATTAATATTATAATTCTTTTTTCTTTTTTTTTTCTTTCTACTGCTGTTATTGAAAAAAAAAACTTGTAAAAAATTTTTTTCTTTTTTTTTAAAAAAAAAATGAATTGTGGGTAAAGATTTTATTTTTTTCTGTTTGCTTATTTTTGTATAAATTTTTTTAATTATTTTTTTTTATCCATAATTTAAAATAGAAAAAAACTAATATTAATATAATATACTAGAAATTTTTTCAAGGACAATTATTTTAGGGTTACACGGATTTCATTGTGATAAAAGTTCGTACGACCATTTGTGACAAACTAGTTCGTTCCTCCCTCAATTTTATCCTTTTTTTAAAAAAATTTATACTTGACTTTATTGATATTTGCTCAAAAGATCCTCCCAGATATAGGTTATTAAGGAACTAACTATAAAGGATGGAATATATATAAAAAAGTGAGCTTGATAAGTTTACTTGAAACTCAAAGGTAGTTTACTTATTTTATTTATTGATTTCAGGATCAATGGGTTTATAGAGCCATACAGTAGACCAATTAGAGACAACCAACCAATTGGTTGGCTCTATGGATAACGAAAGAGGGAGTGGAAAAATAAAAGCTCCCGAGAAGCATTATCATGTGGGAGACAAAATATCCCTCGGCAAAAGGAGAACAAAATTTATGATATTAACAGCCAATTTTATGGCGTTAGCAAATTTCATCCTTTGTACCACTTAAACCATTAATAAAATTTAAAGTTTCCATAACCAATTAGTTTTCTACAGTGCAGATCATCTATAATCATAAAACTTAGCATTGTGTTATTATTATTATTATTATTATTATTATATTACTATTATTACTATTATCATTATTTTTATTATTATTACTATAATAATAAAATGATCTGCATATTGAACTGTAACACGAATTTTATTTATAAAATTACCAGATTAAAAAAAAAGATTTATGGTATAGACGATCTGCCCCATGATTGTTCTTGTGTTTGTTCGTAATGCATATATATAAGTTATTAACTACTGAATTTTTTAATTCCAAAAAAAATCATTCAATTAAAAAATAATCAGGTAAATAAAAAATATATAATATATAATGTATTTCTTAGCTTAGCTGTTAAAAAATGTTAAAAGTGAAGAGAAACATGTATTTATATATGTAAGAAAGAAAATAAAAAGAAAATAAATGTGAATTGAACCAAGTTGAATTCTTTTGGTTATTGTCAGTCGTTGTTAGTCATTCATTCGTGTTCATAATTATATAATAACTGTTTAAGGATTAAAAAGATTTAATTTTTTTACTCGGGTCAATCTAATAAAGATTCTCTTTTTTAATTAATAAATAAATATAGATAATTCACAAAAGAAAATAATATATAATTTTTAAATTTTCTTTAAATAAATAAAAAATGGCGACAAGAACATCAACAACAAAAAATCATTCTGAAATAAAACTTCAGCGTATTATTGAACATAATAAAAAACTTCGCGAACAATTAGATTTACCAAGAATAAAAGTATCACAGGCAAGCTCAATGTATGTATCTCATAGCAATGATTCGAATAGTCTCGATAGATAATAGATCAATCAAAACTAATAAATTAATTAACAATCTAACCCCTTGTTATCATATTTTTAAAAAGGTTAATCAAATATGTTCAATCTACCAAGGATTATTTGGTGCCTTCAGTATGGGGTACTGCTGGTACTGCTGATCCATTCAATAATAGAAATGGTGTTTATTGTACAGAATGTGTTATTTCATAATTATTTTTTTGGGAGTTAGGTGCAAGAGTGTGCGTGGATGATGAATGATGATGGATGATGATTAGGATTTTATTTTAAAGAAAAGGTGTTTATATATGTATTTATAAAAAAGTTTTGAATTTAGAAAAGAAAAGGCTAGATTTTTAAAATTATTATTATACACACATTATACACTTAATTTAATTAATAATAATAATAACAACATTAATATAACTACTATTATTCTTGAATATATAATTTTTTTATTAATTTGCAAATAATAATAATAATAATTTAAAATAATATATATCTGATACAATACAATTTAGTGGAATAATTTTTAATTTAAATCTTGCCACCAGTAATCATTTTTGCTGCAATTGCTGCTAATATTGCAGCTTTGTGATTTCCTGATAATCTGGAATATGCTTCATAAACAGATACGCCTAAATTAATTGATAACAGAAGAAAAAAATTACCAATTAAATTTTAATATTAAAAATAACGTATAACTTGGATGGATAGATAGATACCTTTAGCATCTCTTACAGCGCCTAATTTATTTCCTAAGTAAGCACCTAACATTAAACCAGGCACATTTCCACAAACAAATCCTAACATTGCTCCACTCACTGCTCCAATTGGTGCATAAAACCATTTAGGATTTTCAATTTCTGGCCTTAACAAATCTTCAAATACGTTACCAAAAATCGAATTTGGATCTGTATGTTGTGCATTCCACAACCCCGATGATTGTTTTTTTTTTCTCCTAGAATTTCTTACCGTGTCTTTTGAAAATTAAAAAAAATTAATATAGCATTTTATTTATAATATCCAACTATTAATAGTAAATATATACATCGATTTATATTGATTGATAACATAAATTTATTTATTAATTAATTCAAGTTCACCATATTGTGCCCGTCTGAGATCGTCACTTAATACGTAATATGCATCAGCTACTTGTTGAAAATGCATTTTTGCTTCTTCTTGCGAAAGTGATGGGCTTATAGCAGAATCTTGTGAAGCGCCCGGTGCAAATCTATCTGGGTGTGTTTCTAAAGCTTTTCGTTTATAGGCATCTTTTATTTCACTTAATAATAATAAAGAATAAGTATAAGAATAATAAATTAAAATTTTTATAATAAATTAAATTGTTTAAATTTAAGTCATTTAGCATTCATGCCATACTGACTCGATAGTTGCAGTGTCACTAATCTCAAGAATTTCATAGTAATCAGGAAAGGAATCCATTTTTTATTTATTTTTGCTTTAAATTTAAATATATTTTTTGTTGAAAAGGTAATTAATGAACTATTTTTTTTCATTTTTTTTTTAATTTACTTTGTCACGTTAGTTACACTTATTATTATGACATCATGTACATGATGTCTAATTACATTTATAGTATCAACAATATGCATATACTTTTTGAGCACCGTTTTGTTTGTGTATTTTTAAAATTACCTTTTCTTTGTTCTGACTATTTTTGGCAAGTCAGTTTCTTTGTAACCCATCAGCCTAGTACTAGACTTTGTTCTTTTCAGAAATTCCCATATAGCAACTCAACTAAAAACAGGTACACAATTCTAATATTAATAACATAACTCCCTTAAACCGTAGCAAATGTGACAATTGAAAACTTTCAATTATATAATCCATGTGATGTACAATAGTTATATGTAATAATTTATATTTTAATAATAATGAACTTTTTGAATTTTTCCGGAAAAATTAAATTTTTATCAACTTATAAAATTTTTTTATAGAGTACAGTAAATATTTTCTTTATAACTTTTGAGCTTTAACAATTTTTGCGCACAAAAAATTTCCTTCGCATTTCTTATTTTTTTTTTTAACAAATAAAGAAAATTTACTCTTTATTTAAATAAATATCTTCGTTTTCATGATAGTTTTTAAAGCAATTTCTGTTACTATTGCAACGTAATGGGACATTGCATAATTTACACCAAAAATTCAATACTGGAGCTTTTTGCTCGCTTTTTAAAAACAAGTATCTAGATAACATACATGAAAGTTTTCCATTCTCACTCTGCAAAATGATTACCTGTAATTAATCTATCTTTAGAAGGTTGAGATTTAGCTGTTACATGAGGTAATTTTTAGCTCGGAAGAGAGGAATTAAGAATGGTTTGTTGATATCCCTAAATTCATTTTTTCTTTCAAAGCATCTTCTATCAACTCCCATAAAATTGAGATCTAAAGACTTTGTGAGGTAAATCATTGGCTATTAAGTTACTTCAATTATGAATTAAATAAGAATTAATTATAACTGTGTCAAGCAACCAAAAGAATAAAGGGACCCAAGTACATCTTGCAGTTAATTATGTTGAATAATAGCTTCTTAATTGATCCACTACATCAACTCCATTCATCTTATGATTATAATCATCAATTACAGCAGGAGTATCCATAAGTTTTTTTGATTGATCACCAAAAACTTCAGTTATGGCTCTTCAATTTACATTATTAATTCTTGGGCAATGATGAATTTTAGCAACTTTGGAATTTTTTCCTGGAATTGTGGTAAGCATTGTTACAGGACCATTATCTATCCATAAAAGAGCCAAAACTTCAACTTCAACACCAGAAAGCATATTCCAAGTTAAGTTCATCTTCTCCTTTGGTCTTAATATACTGGGAAATTTGGCTGAATTTTTATGAACTGTGCCACATGCACCAATCCCTCTATCTCTTAAGTATTTGAATAAATTAATGTTTGTGAAGTAATTATCCATGTATATGTTAAAGGATTTATTAATTGGAAATTTTTTTATTAAATGAATAACTTCACTACCAATTTTACTTAATCCCAGAATTTTTTTAATATTCAGATTTTTGTTGATTCTGAAAGAGAATGTAAAAGTAAAAGTATAGCCAGCATCACACAATGATAAAATTTTATATCCTTCAGAGTTGATTTATTTTTTATTCTAAAAGTTTGAGCAGTTCTTCCTGAAAATCTCACAATCATTTCATCAATGGAAACACTTGAAGTTGGTATATAAATATATTCAGGAATTTTTTTACTTGTTTGGCCAAAGGCTCAAGTTTTGGAAACCAAGTGGATTGATTTTGAGTATTCTCATTCAGATTTGAGATATGAAAATACCTTTTAATCAGATAAAAAAAATTTAGTTTCAAATTTTTTTAATAAAATTAAAACATATGTGTGTGGTAATTTTACCTGTTCAAATCTGTATAGTGATATATATTGGGTTATTTTATGTTTAGGAAACCTGTCATTCAAATTCCAGTAATCATCAACAGATGGAAATTTAAAAATACCCATATATATTAACAATGCCATCCAAATTTTCAATTCAGGGACACTTAACAGATACCAATCTCTCACCTTTTTTAATTGCATATGAATTAGAATTTTCAACAAGTTGATTAAAAATTTCATTTGTAAAAAAAAGCATAAAAATTGAAATAGGTGACAAATTTGACAATAATTCTAATCCATGAGGTAATTTAACAATAGCATTATGCAAATTGTATCTATGCACTAATGTAGAAAAAGGTGGTGGTGGTGGAAAATGATTACTATTGTTATTTCCTCTACTGCTTGTAGATTGTCTTCTGCTATTTTCACCATTGTCAATTTCAATGTTATCAGTTTGAATAAAAAGTATTAGTATTCTGATTAACATTGATTATTTCCAAATCATCACTTAAAACAACCTCCTCATGTTCTTCATGCTCTTCATGCTCATTACATTTAAAATGGAAATTAAATTCATTTTCTTCATCTGCTTCAATAAAACCTTCATGTTCATAAGAATTAATGTTAAAAGTACTCATTTTCAATATTCTTAGATAAGATGATGATTGAATATCAATGCAAAAAAAAATGAAACTTTATTGTAATTTTTAAAATAATCAAAATATAAATGATCGACATAAAACGGAAAATTTTATTTATTTTGTGCGATTATTATCATTATGTAATACTTTATTTGATTAGATAATAATATAATCCCCAAAATCATTTTTCAATTAGGAAATGATATGTAAAAATTGCATGTTATAAATCTGTACTCTTAAGTCACATATTTGTGACTTCTACGGTTTAAGGGATAGAAAATATTTACCATTCTAAATTTTGTAAAGGAATCAGCAAAATAAAAGACGATTATGTTTCATCATAACGTATATTATATAGTGTGTTGAATGAGCAAAGTATAATATTAGCAAAGTAATTTTTTAATATTCTTACAACGTTAGGCAAAAAGAATTGTTTAATAGTATAAATATATCCATGTAGTCAATGTTTAAATTTTATGAGTAAATTTCGTGTATTTGTTTTATAAATAAATAAAGAATAGCAAAAAGTTTGAGAAAAAGAATCATCCAATGAAGAAACATCAATGAACAAACACATGCACAATTTATCAATGATCTAATTGAAACTTTAATCAGTGGCTTTGCATGGATTCATGTTATAATGTAAGTATTCTCTTCGAGACTTTATTTGCCTTAATTCTTCACTAATAAATTGATGTTTTTAGTGATAAGCATGATCTTGAAAGTAAGAGAAGCACCAGCAAAAGACCTGACATATTATTAACAAAGAAACAATAGGTCTATGCAGGGGTGAATTCTATGGGTCCAAGTTGCTCTGATGACGAAAAAAATATATATAATGATAAACTGATTAGATGCTTGAAATGTTCACAAGATAACTTTAGGAGAAAATGCCAATAAATACATAGTGACCATATTAGCATTGATGTAGCAAACAATTGGATTTCAAACCAAGTTTAAAAATTGACATCGTGTCTAAAATTTAGTTGGAGAATTTTTTCTACTAGGTACATGTGTGCAACAGATTTTTTTATCAATGATTATATTTGTATTTTTCATTCTTCAGGATTTTTTATCAAATTATTTATGATGAGCACTGTTTTCCTTTGGGTCATACTTGTTTATCCTTTGACATTCTATATTTCAACCCAAAAAGAGGAATTCTATAAAGCAGTAGTGTTTAATAAACATTATATAACAAAAAAAGGATCTTTAGAAATGATGCCTAAAATACAAACATTATATATTAAACATTTAAAACCATTTCCTGAAGTCGAAGAATTTATAGAAGAAAGTATCAAACATTATAATTTAGGCTTGATAATAATAGAAGAGTCAATGAAAAAGGCATTGGAAAAATATTCTGAATTAAAACCAGAAGTTAAAGGAATACTAATTGGTGTAAGAAATGATTTGCATGGAGGTAAATTTAATTAATTCATGCGCATGAATTTACCTGATAAATATTATTTAATCATTTTATTTATTAACAAATTCATTCCAACTGACCCAGATTGGCCTCAATTTATGTGAGTCTATCCAATATTAGATTGGAGTTATGTGTATATATGGGAATTTTAAGAACATTAAATATTCCATATTGTAAATTATATAATTTGGGGTAAGTTATATTAAACATAATATTAAATGTTAATTTGATTATTTAATTAATTCTTCTTTGTCTTATTTTCTTTATTATTAGGTATACTTCTATTGGTGGAATTAATAATACGTTTCCCAATTCAACTCTAACAAATCCATTAAAATTTTGTGGATTTGATCCTGCTTGGATGTTAACTGATGAAAGTAAAGAAAGATTCAGCAGGGAAAAATAATAAATATAATATAATTAATTATTATCATAAAAATAAAATTATTTTATTTTATTTTTTTGTTTTTATTTTTAGTGTATAATGCTAATATATCATTATTATCAATTAATTTATCAGAATCATTATTTAATTTAGATTTTTTAGATTTTATTATTGAAGTTCTACTATCTTCATCTTCTTCATCTTCATCAGCACCTTTATTATTATAAACTTTTTTATTATATAATGTCTTTTTTATTATTTTATAATCATCATCTTGTTTATCATCATCATCATCATTATTATCATTTGTTAATTTACGTTTTAATTTTAATTCTGAAACTAATTTATCTTTCTTAGTTATATTTAATCCAATCCTAGTATAAAAAAATAATTACTTGTATTCAGGAAAATCGAAAAAAAACTTAATTTAATAAAAAATCAATTATATGGTTGTTTCCTTACTTTGAAGTATATCGATTTTGAATTCGTTTTGTTAATTCTAATTGTCTTTTTATTTCTTCTTCTCGTTCTTTTTCCTCTTCAATTGGATCGGCTGGTGTTAACCATGAATCTACTAATGATGATATTTCTCCAAACGATACATCTAGTTTTGTTCTTATAACTTCTAATTCTTCAAAACGATTCTTTGTTGGATTCAAATTTGAATTTGACATTTATTATGATTATTGTGAAAATATAATATTTATACCATACATAGATGATTGGGAATACAAAACTCGTAACCAATTAAAAAGAATTTTCACACATATTTGATTGGCTAATTCCACATACAATGTTACTAAATCACATTAAATAATAGAAAATTTAAAATCTTTTTTATTTAACATTATTATCATCTTCTTTATAATAATCTTGTAACTAAAGAACAAGAAGTACTTCATAATGAATTAGACAAGTTAAAGGTAGAACTAATGGCTGCACATTCAAGAAACAATCTTATAATTTGTTCAAATATGAAACCATTAACTGTGGGGGAAACCAATATACATAATAAGTTCAGATGTCAGTGACCATGAGAAACCTAATTTAATGAAATTTTATTATTTGGGTAAATTTATTTTGAAAAAATATAATTTTTTCTATTGGATTATTAAATCAACCAGAAACTATAAATTACAAAATTTAATTATGAATCAAATATTTTCTTCTTTAAAACATTAATTAAAAAAAATATAAACATTATTTATTATGCCACAAGAAATTTCTAAGGGAATCCCATTATCAGAATCCAAGTATAAATATTGCATATATGATTGCAACACATAATGATCATGATAAAACAACTACATTACAATTCCCATACTAAAGCTGCAAATATAGAAATATATTTGTATTTATAATATCTACTCAAACATGGTGTGTTCATCAGTTCTTTACCAATAATAAGTTTGTATATTATTGTTTTATACATTGTAATAAATTTTTGGAATGTTGTTTTGTAGCTTTAAATTTATCTTTTAAATTAGATATTTGTATATAATACCTGATTATATGAAATATTAAAGTCATCACAAGAGTGTGAGGAAATCCAACTTTTACTCCATAAATAGTTCCATTACAAAATCCTTTGACAATAGTAATTTTTCTATCAACTTTTAAAAAAGTTTTTTTGGATAATTATATAAAAAAACCATCTTCATAAGATTGATAATGAGAAAAAAATAAGAAAACTTGCATATATTGTTACATATATAAGAAGAATAGATATCCATAATGTTTATTAATTAACAATGGTTCATTTATTTATGTACTTATTACTGATTTACTGATCATATTCATACATACTAGTGAAAACAATCAATTTCTCTTTCTCCAAACCATATTTCTTCAATATAATATAAAAGTGTATGTCTCAGCCTTTATCAAAAGTTCCAACTTGAATAAGTTTGATCTGAAAAAAAAAAGAGACAAAAACACACCTTTTCAAAACTATTATTTATATATTTTTGATTCAAAGATGGTTTTTTGGTTTAATCTATGTCTGGCCTTACGGAAATCATCAACTCTCTTACGATTTCATAGGTTTCAGACAAAATTTTTTTGAAATCCGTGTAACAAATAATAACGGGTTGTTTTAATATCCTCGGAAATTACATAGGTTACTGGGGCCCTTTTGCTAGGGAAGTTTCCATATACTATCTTTATGCAAATTCAGTGCCCATATCCTTGAAGACAGAAGATTAGTGGTGGTTTGAAAATAGTATGTTTTATTAGCATTTTACTAGTATTACAAACTTTCAATCACTAAGGCTTCTGAAAAATCGTCACATTTATAAAATTATTAATATAAAATATAGCAAAAAAAAAAAAGACGAATTAAATTGGTGACTCAAAACCATAAGTAAGGGTATCCGTAATATATAAGAATGTCTTACCTCCCCCCTGTTGCGATTGACAAGGCAAGAAAATTGATACATATGTAAACTCGATAAGTCGGTCATGTGAGGGTGAGCTCATATGACCGACTTATCAAGTAAAACCGACTTATCGAATTAAATTACTTAAATATTAAAGAAAATGGGGTGAAATTTTTGGCCGACTTATCGAGTTTACATATGTAGCGGGAAACAGATTACTTGGCGAAACAAAAAAGTCAGATATGAATAAATGAATTGACATCTCCATTAAATAGAATCACATAGCCGTTTCCTTCTGATGTAAAATTTTCTGATTCCTAATAAGGCTACACCAATTTGGATATATACAAATCTGGGAAGATCTCGTGTTACGTGTTACGTACATTCATTACAAAAAAAAAATTTATATTATTGTTTTAAAAAAAAAAAATGAATAAATTACCAGATGAATGTTTTCTAAATATAATCGAACAATTAATAAAATCATATCAAGATGCTCTTAACCAATGTTGTCACACCAGGCGTACTAGCAACAGAAGCAGTAACAACGACAAGAATGAAGCAATTTCAAATATATTGTTTTCATGTATTTTAGTTAATCGATATTGGTGTCGTAATGTTCTACCGATTTTGTGGAGTAAGCCTTTTAGATTCCTACATAAGCCTTTACCGGGTTTAATTCAAGTGTATGTATCTTGTTTGAATGAAAAGGAAAGCAAAGTATTTCTATCAATTGATACCGAATTGCCATCGATAACATTACCATCTCCATTGTCATTGCTATCTCCATCTTCACAATCAATATCATCACCATCTTTGATAAATACCACCAGTTATAAGAATGATCTTCCAGTAGCTTATCAGCAACCCCTCTTTGATTACATATCGTTTTTAAGAGAGCTTAATTACGAAATGGTATTTATATCTGTTCGGCATTGGTTTTCAAAAACATTTTTGGAATTGCAAAACCAATCAAATAGTCGGCAATTATTTGAAGATCAACATTCATCATTATCATCATCAACACCATCATCTATACCATCAGAATTATCAATACCGCCACCACTACCACCGTATAAAAGCAATTTCGATACTTTAATTAGAGAAAGAACCTTGGGACTGTCACTATATTTATGTAGTATATTTCTAAGCCGGTGTAAATATTTGAAAAGGCTTGATTTGTCAAGAACTTTTGTACCAAGTATACCAAACGAATACTTCCAGTCCCTGCTCAACTACCCACAAGCCGAATCAAGTTTTTCAGATCTTGAGGAATTTAAATTTGTAGCCAAACAAATCAATCAAAATCATATTTTATCTAGCATAACAAAAATTTGTAACAACATTAAGATCGTTAACATCTACTCCTCTTTGACATTCTCACCCATATCATCAGTATTGCCATCACCGCTATTGCCACCAATCATATCATCAACAACTATGCCATCATTGTCATCATCCGCATCATCATCTTCTTCGTCATTATCATTACAAAATAATGAATTTGTTAATATGGGTTTAATTGATTTTTTTACTGGACAAACTGAAATTAAGAAATTATCTTTGGGATTAGAGGATAATAATACTAGGATCTTACCAATTTTGTTAACATTAAAAAATCATCATTTTAATACTTTGAGCTGGGTAAAATTTTATTTTATTAATTTTCATGACGTTACAGGTTTTGATATTGTTGATGCTTTATCAAATATTAAAACTCTTTTATTTTCATACTGTAAATTAATTTTTAATAATAATAATAATAACAATGATAATTACAATTATAACTACAATGGCTACAGGGATAATAGTATTAGAAATAATAATAGTAATAGTAATGAACGTGGAAGTAAATTAGAAATTTGGAAAAAAACAACAAATGGTACAAAAAAATTCTATAGACTTGAAAAATTAAGTTTATTTAGAACAAAATTTTTAACCGATACGTTCAAAACAATTATTACAGCATCACAAGAAACACTCAAAGAGTTGCAATTATGTGGAACGATAAGTGATCTAGATAAGAATCGCACCGAAGAGAACAGATCAAGATTATTTGATGGTATAAGTAAATGTGTTAAATTGGAATATTTAGAATTACAAGCTTTTAAAATGTATCTGGGAACTTCTGAAGAAATTTTACAAAATTTAGCTAAAGTGCTGCCTAAATCGTTGAATCATTTGGAGATTGATTTTCATTGTTCATCTGATGAATTAAAATCTTTTTTTAATAATTCTGATTTGTTATTAAAAACGATTGCTTTGCGTATAGGAAATACAGGGTTGTTGGATGTGAGGGATATATATATTGATGATAGTCATTTAATAGAAATTATGGAATACAAAAAACTTAAAAAATCATTGGAATTGCTAATATTAGCTGGAAAATATATTAAAATTAGTGAAGCAATGGAAAAAGATGCAAAAAATTATTTTAGCATTAATAAAATTGTAAAATATACAAAAACTTTGGAAGTTTGGGATTAAAAAATCTTTAAATGTAAAATATCAAGAGAATAAACTTTTAACCTTAGAATTTTAATTTCATTAATTTAATGTAATATTATTATATATGATATATTAAGAAAAGTGTGGATGAAATCCTTCAACAACAAGTCATTCAATGTTTATAACTAGCAAGTATTAAATTTACACAATCTCATTGTTAATTTTCTATTTTAATGTTCTTTCTATATTACAAATCAATTATACCACACTTTGTTTTATTTATATTTCTATTATAGTGATGATAACCATCCAAGTAGTTTTAATTATTTAACAAATTAATATTTAAACTGATGTTATTTATTTGTAATTATTATAGTAATGTATTATTAAAAAAAAAAGACTTCAGTGAAGCGATCTAAAGAAAAAGTTAATGATTATTAAAAGTCAATTAACAAATTTAAAAGAAAAAAGTAAACTAAGCCGATAGAATGAAATGGCGGAAGAAGAAGACCTTAACAAACAATTAGTTCTGCCAGTTTTTTTACTTTGTAGAGTTATTAAATTCCAAAATTAAGGCATCTTTATATTATAATGAATTTTTTACTAAAGATATTTTTTTAATTTCTATAATATATATTTATATATATGTAAAATGAATGATATTGATAAAAAATTAAGGGTAGAAATTTATTTTTCAACCATGATTAAAATAATCGTAATATATTTTATTGAGAGAAAAAAACTATTAACTCCTAAGTTTCTGGACCTTCGCCACCAGGAATAAGCTAAAAAAAACCCTCCTTTAGCAGCTTCTTTTACATAATATATATAATTACTTTTTAAAATAAAATCAAATGTTACCATAGTAATATGATTCCCGTTTAAAAGAATTTGATCTAATTTTGTTGTTTTACGACCTTCTGGTGTATTCTCACTTAAATAAATCAATAAGTAATTAAGCAATTAATTAAAATTTGGTGCTGTTTTCAATAATTAATTGAATAATAATAATAATAATAATAATATATACATATATATAAGTATAATATATAACATAATGTATATATGACATATGTAATCTCTTTCGCACACTTACAATTCTGTTACATCTTCTAATACCATGTCTTTTTTTTTTTTGTGGATTGTTAAGGTAAAAATTAATTGTAAATTATTTTTTCTGAATACATAAGAAGGAAAGGATACTGACATAATCATCAAAACCTAATAGAGTGCCCGTAAATTCTTTCTCGCCTTTCATAATTACCCATATTTTTGAACCGATACATTTATCAATTAATTCTAATAGAAATAGATAATGCAAAAAAAAACCATTATTTCTTTTTCATTAGAATTTAATTGATAAATTATAGAGACGTTACCTAAAGGAAGCAATTGATTTGCAGTTGCGGTTGCAGTAGCGGTGGCAGTAGTTGTTGTTGTTGTTGCTGTGGTTGTTGTAGACATTCTCAATTTTTTTTTCTTTTTTAAAAAAAAATTAACTGGTTTTTTACATGTTTGTGTAACTGTGATACAATTCCCGATATGTGTACGCGATCCAAAATCTATCTATTATATACCATTATGTGTTATAATAAATATTAATATATAACAATTATTTTCATGAGAAAATGTTTGGACTACGAACATCAACAAAGACTTTTGTCGCAGCACGCTCTTCTTCCTTAATCAAAAGTTCAAGTTATCTTCTCAAGAGATCAAAATATACAATCCCAGATCTTCCTTATGACTATAATGTAAAAAAAAAAAGATTTAATTATCATTATCATTATCATTATTTGTTTTAATCTACCTTTGATGACAATTAATTAACAAACTCATCGTTTAATCAATTATTAATATTATTATTACGACGATTGATTGATTAGGCTCTTGAGCCAATTATTTCAGCTGAAATAATGGAAGTTCATTATACTAAACATCATCAAGCCTATGTTAATGGATTGAACGCCGCAGAGGAAAAATTTGAACAGGCTATTAAAGATCAAGATGTCACTGCACAAGTTAGTTTACAAGCTGCATTGAAATTTAATGGTGGAGGTAATAATAAATTTTTATTTTGTAATTTTTGATGAAAATATAGAAAAAATTTTTGTTTTTTTTTTTTTGAATTTCAATCAATAATAATAAATATCACATATTTAGGACATATTAATCATTCCTTGTTTTGGAAAAATCTTGCACCAATTAAGGAAGGTGGGGGAGAGCCACCTAAAGGTGATTGTTTGTTTGTTTAATAATAAGATAATTTAAATTATAAATAGTTGATTGATTGAATTGAATGAATAAAATAGGTGCGCTTTTAAGTGCAATTCAAAAAGAATTTGGAACACTTGAAGATTTTATTAGCAAGTTCAATGGTACAACTGCAGCGATTCAAGGTTTGGAATTTTATTTATATGTTAAATTACGTATATACGTATTAAGCGGGAAAAAATTTAAACAAATATAATATATTTTTCTAATTAAATAGGTTCAGGATGGGGCTGGCTTGTAAGAAGGCTTTAAATTTTACTTTTAATGTTTTTGGGAAATCGAGAATAATTATAATAACTGCAGTTAATAATTAAACATGTATATATGTGTATATTTAGGGTTATAATAAAGCAAACAAACGTCTTGACATATTGACACTTCCAAATCAAGATCCTTTAATCAGTTAAGTATTATTATATTATATGATATTATATTATATTATATTATTATATATTTTTAGGATCCATTTAATAAAATATTTTATATTTCTAAAAAAACTCACACACGTGACATACATATATCATTATAATTAGCTCATATACCACTTCTCGGAGTTGATGTTTGGGAACATGTACGTAACTTATACTTATATTTGCATATATATAATTTTTATCATTAACCATTTAAGCTCACAAAATTATTTTATTTTATTAAAAAAAATATTTGATGAAAAAGGCTTATTATTTACAATATAAGAATGCTAGACCAGATTATTTGAATAAAATTTGGCAAGTGATTAACTGGAAAACTGTTGCTGAACGTTTTGCCAAAGCTCAATAAATTGAACAAAAAAAATTTATAAATATAGGAATAATAATTAATAGCTGCAAAGTATATATATATATATAAAATTTATTATTGAATTTATATTTTTTCAAAAATAAAGGGAATTTTTTGAACATTTTCTTACACAATTATATAATTAAATTACAAAAAATAATAATAAATTTTTTTTTTATTCGATTGGCTCTATTTCAAATAATAAAAATATAATAAAAACTGTATATATTTATTATTAAAAAAATACATACATTCCTGATATATATATCTTAATTCAATATTAATATATTTATAAGCATTTAGCTCTCCACCTCTCTCCTTTTCCTTGTGTGTGTATATATATATGTGTGTGTGTCTATAAATAAATAGTCCATACACACACACATATTTTTAACATAATATTTGATGATAATACAAAAATAAAAAAAAAGTTTTACCAATCAATTTTAATGAATGGATAATGAATGATGGGAATAGAATAATTAGTGTTGGTAGATAAATGAATTGTTATTATGAATTACTTTTAAAAAAAATGAGTCAATGGAATTTAGGAATTGATTAAAAAAAGCAAATGAATTAATTGATCTATTAATTGATTAATTAATTATAAATTTTTCGTTACTTTTTCTAAGTCCATTTACATACATAATCATTTTTATTACTATTTTATTAATAATATTGCTATGAACTACTACTACCATCGTTATTACTATTACTACCACCTTCTCCACTATTATCATTATCATTGTTGCTACTACCATTTTTTCCGTTTTTAGAATTATTATTATTGTCAGGAATCATTTCTTCAATATCCATTCTACACATTGGGCATTTTTTATTTAACTTAAGCCATTCATCTACACAATCTCTATGGAAATGATGCTGACAATATAAATGTCTAAGTTCTTCTTCGTTTTCATAAGGTGAAAGACAAATAGAACAAATAGAATCATCAGGATTCGTAATTGTAATGTATTGGAGTGGTGTAAAATTAGATGAACTATTATGGTTGTTGTTGTTGTTAGATGACAACGATGATTGTTTATTACTGAATTTTTTACCGGGCCAAAATTTATATTTAGGTTTCTTATTTTGCTGATCTAGTTGATCTGTAGCAATTGAAGGAGAAGCATCAGTAGCAGCAGCAGAGGCATAAGAAGGTGAATTACTTAAAGGTTGCACCACAACTATTGTATTATTTACATTGCTATTGTTATTATTGTTGACATTATTATTGTCCTCATTATTATTATTGGACGATGAAGTTGTTGTAGCTGGCGTTGCTACTATTATCATTGTTCCTTGTTCCATTTCACGTTGACAATTATCATATGACTTGTATTTGTAAGAAGGTATTTTTGATATAAGATCCTCGCTTGCACCGGTAATTCCAACAGCTTCACCCACATGTAATACTCTCATTGCCACTATGACACAAGGCAGACAAAATATTACGGCAAGACATAATAATATTGGAATGGTGATGATTATATAACCTAATATTACCCATGTTAGTGAAAGATAGAAAATTTCTGGTGCAGTGCGTTGACATGTTTCTGTAGTAAATAATAAATAATTTCCAATTATAAACCAAAGAGTTGCAAATAAATCTAAAAACGATTTAACCCTATAATAATAATAAATAACAGATTATTAATTATTAGTTATATTCATAGTTAAAATATAAAAAAATCTTTATAAAAAACATATTATATTATAAATAGTCTTTATAAAATAGATTATTAAATTAACCTATCAATCCACTTGTCAATCCAATTGTCTCTTCTAGCGTTATTTTCATTTTGACCATTCCGTCTATTGTCTCTAGGATTCAAATATAAATAAACATTTACAGGACATGCTATTATCACTCTTATAATATAAAGTACAAGGAATATTTTGAGTGGTTTATCACATGTTTTAGGATATGCAACTATAAGGATTGTAACTGTTACTACAACCTTTTTTTAAAAAAAAAAAAAAAGAAAGGAAGGATAAATTTAAAAAATATGTATATATAATGTTATATATTATTTATATCTTGCCAAAAAAAAATTTTTTTTATAATAATACCTGAATTGCAACCATTGCTAAAGACAATAATAATAAAACTTTGGAGGTTCTGGAAATAGTTCTGAAACTTTGTATAAAATAGTTTCCTCTGTTTCTTCTGGATGGTGGTAACGGTGTTGTTATTGTGGTTGCTTGATTTGGTGCAGCTGCACCTACAGAAGCGACAGTCAATGGAGGAACAGAATTTAACATTGTAGAAACTGTAGAACGAACTGTGGACCTTGTTTGTTGTCTTGAAAGAGTATTACTTGTTGCAGAGGCTGTTGAAATTGTTGTTTGATCGCTGTTATCATTACCATTGTTACCCTTATTGTTTGTATTTTCAGTTGATTGTTGTGTAGTTGCTGTATTAATAGTAGAAGTTGCCGGACTCGTTACTATTGGATCGTTGTTATTATCATCACTGTTATTATTTATATTAATAATACTTTTATCGTTTTTAAAATTATCATTAGAAAGAGAGGCCATAGATATTGTTGTTGTTGAGGGGGAAGTTTTACTAGTTGAATTTTCTTTTGATGAGTTTAAGGTTTCTATTAATAGCGACTTTTTTCCCTGTTTCGTATTTGGTCTAGTAGTCACGAGACTGATATATTCAGTGTCGACGTCAATTGGTTGAATTAATAATCCATGATCGTTCATATTAAATTTCAAAATTTTTTTTTTTTGGAATCTATCTCCTTTTTATTTTTTTTATTTTTTTTATATTTGTTTTATTTATTTATTGTTATTTATTATTTTATTCATTATTAAATTACTACTATTATTATTATGTTATTTATTATTGTTGTACTTGTTTATTATTAATTCATAATTTTTAAGACAACAGTGTGTGTGGGTAAGGAGAAATTTATATGGAAAACAAATTTTTAACGATAATTTAATTAATCATATATATTCATCGATTGATGATAACTACAATTCTCGATGCTAATTGATTGATTTCTAATACTGGCTATAATTGTTCTCTAGTAAATTTATATCACCACGCTTGTGACATTTGAGCCTTCACTTGACTTTCTTTTTAATATTTAGGCATAACATAACTGAAAAAATTTTCTCACGTAAAGAAAGGCAAGCTTGCTCGTTTGCGAATTATTTTTTGATGATTAGTTGAATGAATAGACAGACAGTCAGTCAACAGACACGAGGGGAGATGATTTAAAAGTTTAAAAACATTATACATTAGTGGTCCCTTAAAAATTATCTCTAAATTTTAACGTCTAGGATATTATTAAATTCTTTTTGCTTGTCCCATATGTTAATGATTAATTAAAAAGGAAGGTTTTATGTTTCAGATTTCTTGGAAAAAAAAAAATTTTTGAATTTTAAATAATTATTTCAAATTAAGAAATTTGTATTTTTGTTTTTCAATATAAAAATGTCCCAAATAATTTTCTATTCATTTCACAAAAAAAACTCTTAATTCAATACAAAAAATATGAACGAAGAAATCACACCAAATAGAATTCCTCGTTCCATGTATAAAATTTACTCGCCAAACATTTATTTCAGTTATTTACCAGGCAGCAAAACGCTTCAAAAAGGTTTTCTTGGCATAACGAATGAATTCTCATTAGTCGGCATCTTGAATGTAAGTTTTCCCGCGGATCAACCAGTCTACATAAAACAAATTCAATTGAACTTTATTGGAATAGAATACGATTATTTAAAAGATTCGAATGTTGTAGAAAATGGAATCTTGACTTTTTGTGATCTCAATAAAGTTATTTGGAATAGTTCTTCGCATTCAGAAGATTACGAAAAAATCAACGATTTAGAAATTCCCTTCGAACTGGAACTCCCGAATGAGCTGCCGTCTTCAATAAATATTAGACATGGCAAACTCATGATAGATTATTATCTAAAAGCTACAATCATACGAAAGCCACCTGGTTTAAAAAAATCATTACTAATGGGCTATAATAAAACCATTCAGTTATACCTAAAATTAGATAGATATAAATTACCCTCTCTTTCAAATCTAAGCTCAATTAAATTTGAGAGAAAGTCATCCTACGGATTTAGGTATGATATTTGTATAAATTCCAAGGTTTTCAGTGCCAAACAGCAAATTTCTTGTGATGTAAAACTAGAATTTTTCAATCAAGCGTTGTCACTAAATGAAATATTCATAGGATTGAAAGAATATCAAAAAATACTAACTAGTAATTATACTTCCAAAACAATCAAACAATATGTTTTACAAAATACAATCAAAGGAAATCGAGTTCAAGTTGATGACAAATCAAATTCAAAAAATGAATTTAAGATTAATTTAAAACTGGAAATACCAGAAATCATTTTGCCTAACAAGAAAAACAATAAAAAGAAGAATAAAACTGATAATTTAGTTAATTGGAAAATGTCTTCACGTAATTTCAAGATTTTTCACAAATTAAAAATCAAATTCATATTTGGTGGCGAATTGTTCTTTAATCAAAAAGTTGTTAAATTTGAAAACCCAATAGAAATAGTTAAAATGTTGAATAATCACCAGGAACAAAATTTATTGTTTCATATATTAAATAGTCATAATGAATCTTTCCTTCACTTATACCAACAGCAGCAAATTTATCGACAACAAGACGGGAACGAGCTTCCTCCTCCTTATGACTCACCAACAATCACAGAAACTGCCACCACCACAAGTGCAATTACTTCCGACAGTTTACTTAATTGGTTATCATCTTTAAAGTTACCGCCAACTTATGACAACAATGGTGACGTTACTACTAATACTATTCCAATCACTTCACTAATAATCATTGATAATTGATATTATCATTATTATAATTATCATAATTATGAAACTTGAAAGAATAGAAAGAATATTGTAATTTTTTAATTCTACAAATCAACCAATAAAATCGTCCAAATTTGACACGCAAAGATCAGCAGCAAATCATTTATTATTAAATATCAATTCACACTGATCAAAGATTTTACAAGGCTATAAAACAGGTGTTCTCTGCTTTCAAGATCAAAAGATAAGTGATGCTAAATTGAGCATGGAAGTAATCTGATCAGGCTTATATGACAAGAAAGGGGAATTTTATGGTTATTATAAATATAAATATAAATATAAATATAAATATAAATATAAAACCTGATGAACTTTAATTTCCTTACAATAATTGAATATGAGAGAATTCTTTAATAATCATTTGAAACTAATGGCATTGGATATAAAAATATACAAGAACATTTATTGCAGCAAAAAGACTACGGAAAAAGTGTATACACACCCTCATTAAATTTTCCACCACCTGGTTGAATCATTCCAAAATTAGAATTATTTTTGATAATTTTCTCAATATCACCCATTAAAGAGAGTGATAAATCAGAGAAGTCTAGATGAAAAAGCCACGATCCTATGTACCATCATTAATCAATTAACACAAGAGTTGATGGTGGGACGAATGAAAAATGTGCCCTAGCGGTTACTGGGGTAACTGAAACAACTCAATCATGAAGGATAATTTGATTTTAACACTAATGTGCGCCACCAGTAATTGATACAGCAAAGAATTTGCAAAGTATAGTTCCTTTTTTTGTCTTTACTATTTAAATTTTTACATTTTGTTGGCAAGGCAATAATATTCTTGTACAAAAAAAATTTTTTAAATAGTTTTCACAATAAAACAATTAGAAATTTCTATTATAATTTTTCTATTATTAGAAATTCCTTATAATTTTTTGACCAGTCCAAGCTATTTTTGAAAAAAGCAGCTGCCGCAAACAGATACGGCTGCTTCAAATTTTTATTTTCAGTCAACTAAACTTTTTTTTGAACAGACTACTAATACTACTAATACTAATACTGATACTAATGCTAATACATACTAATACTAATACTAATACTAATACAGTGCAAATCGTCTATACTTGAAATTATGAAAACCTAAATATCATGTGATCCACTTGTCAGATTTTAATGAAAATATTACCATTCAACTCACCTTTAAAAAAGGAATCGATTTATAACACAAAAAAAATTTAGTCTCATTTTTTAGTCAAAGATCTTCAAAAGATTTATTTAAGATAAAAAACAAAATAAAAGAATACTTAAATTTTAATTTCATCATACACAGAATTAGGAACTCTCCATACTTTTTCACTGCAAACTCAGCTAATCTTCCTGAAATTCCCTTTCCATATATCTCCAGCTTTTTTGTGCATAATGATGAATTGTCGTTAAGGATACTGAATTTAATGCTTCTGGTACAACTATTTGTAAACTTGACCACTTATAATCACAATTCTTTCTTGTATAATGTTTTACAGCTCCCCAAAACATTACTAGAATCTGAAGAATAAATTTCATCTGATAAAATAAAATCTGAGTCAGAAGAATCTGATAATTTGCTTTCTTCAAATTGACCTGTAGATGAATTGTTAGATCGATTTTTGAAATTTTTTCTTTGAGCAATTTGTTTTTTTGATAATGGCATATTTAAATGATAAAAATAAATCAATAACGCGATGTTACACGAATTTACTTTGTCTCATTTTTGTAACCTTATTATTATGTAAATTGGTATTACTTTAAAACCTATATAACTTGGTTAATATTGAAGATAAAAAAAATTCCAGCCACTAACTTTGAAAGCTCTAGTGTTGCTTAGTAAAAATTAGTGGTTAGAATTTTTTTAAAATGCTTTTTTAATTTATTTTTATCAAATTTGGCAACATCAATTTTTATTTTGAGTATAGACGATTTGCACTGTACTAATACTGATACTAATACTATATAATACTAATACTGATGCTAATACTAATACTGTTACTAATACTAATACTAATACTAATGTTATTATTATTATTGTCTGACCAATTACTTTTGTGTTTTATCATTCAAAATGGAAAATTTTTATGCGGAAGAGTATCAATACCATCAATATGATGATGACGACAATAGTATTGTGTTGTTGATGATAATTTTACATGAGAATGAATAAACACTTCCAATACAAGGTCAAAAAGTTCATTGGTTTCAAGTTCCAATGATTTAAGCGGTGGTTCCAGAAGACCTTTAAAAAAATGAATCGTAATACACTATTTTGTGTGGAAGCATTTTGAAAAAGTGAAAGATTCAAATTGAAATGAATTCGTAATTTTCAAATTAAAAAAAAAATGAAATTATTATTATTATTATTATTATTATTATTATTATCATAAAAAAAAAATTTGGTCGACTAAAGAAATTTTTGACCAACTAGTAGCCGACTAAGGATTTTTGGACGATTCCAACCTCTGATTTTTACACATAATCTCATTGTAAATGAATGACCGACTGATTGAATTCATCAATTACAATTCAAAAAATCCAGTTACTGCAAATCACAAATAATTTTCGCACGACTAACACGACTAATAATACTAATGACAGTAATTGAAAACTATTTGCAGCAGTCGTAATTATTTGCGGCAACCGTAGCTATTTGCAGAGCCGTATCTATTTACTTATTTTTTGCAATCAAACAAATAAAGCCTTTTGTTTTTTGGCTACAAATTTGCGTACACTCAAAGTCTACCGATCTACCGGAAAAGAATATAAATTTCATCACCATTTGCCGGGAAAATATTAGTCGTATTTGAAATATTCGATGTTGACAATGACGACAATGGAAATATAGATG